TCCATTGTTGGATATAGGCCTCCTCCAAACGTCTCCAGTTCTCTCTATCTCTAGCTGCTGCAATCCAGTTTTCTGATTATCTGTCTTATATTCAGCAGGTGTTTTCGAGTGCCTCTACCTTTGGTAAATCCAGTTTGCTCTTGTGGAATTTCTCTTTGAAGGAATGTTTTCAGTCTCTCATTGATTATATGTAGCATTATCTTGCTGGCATGGGATATAAGAGAGATAGTTCTATAATTGTCGCATTTATGGAAGCTGCCTTTTTTATGTATGGTCGTTATTGTAGATTTTGTCCAGTCGTCAGGCCATTGTTTGGAATGTCATATTTGGTTACAGAGTAGATGAAGTAACGTTACGCTCGTTTCTTCTGTGGCTTTAAGCATTTCTGCTGTTATCATATCTGGACCTGGTGCTTTGTTATATTTTAGCTTGTTGATTAGCTGTTGAATCGCCAGTATTAGGTTCATTGAAAATAACGCTCGCCACCTCGTCTAGAAACTGGTATTTGTCGATCCGAAGTGTATAAACAAAATCTTGACTCATCCGTAAAGAGTATGTTACCCCAGTCGTCGATATTCTAGTTTACGTGCTCTCTTGCAAATGTTAAACATGATCTACGGTGTTCCCTTGTAAGTCTCGGGGCAGTGGAAGCTACTCTGGCCCTAATTCCATACTGTCTTAAGATGTGCCTAACAGTTTCTGAAGGCACACGTACATTTTAAGTCTAGGCTAAGTCATGTTGAAGTTAACTTGAAGTCACATGTCTTCGACGCAAAGCCTCAAGGACTAAAAAATCTCTTGTCCAAATGCGTAGTTGCTCTTGGCCGACCTGTTACGGCTCGTGTTTTATAAAGACCAAACTCTCGGTACCTTTAGTTAAGACCTTAGAAATTATTCTAACCACTTGATCTCTCGTTAAATTTAAATTCATACTATCACGACCTATCATACTTAATATTTAATACTGAATTTTAAATTTAACGCAAACTGTATACTTTTTGTAAAATAACGACTGATAGTATAAAAACCAGACAAAATAGCAATTATTAGCAATTTTTTTTTCATAAACAGTAAGCTATATTTACAAATTTCTTTTTAATATTTATTCTAGCCTTAATATTCTTAAAAGCCAAAAAGCAATAATTTAAATTAACCAAATGCTGTCAGAACTATTTGTAATTTTATAAGTGGTGCGATACTCTTTGGCGGAGTATATTAAAAAAAAAAAAAATTACATCCTAGCTGCCCAGTGTTGTTTTCGCAACAGCCAATTGTAAAAAAAAGAAGTTTTTTATTCTTTAAACATATATTTTTGTTAATATTGTGACTTGTAGAAAACAAATTTTTTAGAAATTAAAAAAAATACACATAAATTGTTCTGGACATCAATGGGTTAATATACCTTCGTTTTTGTAACACCTCGTTTATTATTGTATATTATTATATTTCATAACTTAACAACTCACTGACAAGAAATTAACTGGATTTCGCATTATGTAATCCTTCTTGTTTTCTGGTGCTTTTCACGGTTCCATGTTTATAATCTTCTCTTTGACAGCTTAAAAAGGTGTTGCTTTTTGTACGAGTTTAATAAAAATTTTCTTCTTTTAACCTATGAAGTCCGATATGTAATTAAGATATGATCAGTGGGCCTCAAACAGTGGGCCGTTACTTAATATTTAATTTCGATCGCTTGAAAAGAAAAAATATTTAATTTCCTGTATTTTATGTTCAGTAATAATATTGGATTTTACTGTATCAAAGGCAAATAAAATAAATATAATATGTATATACAGGCCGCTTAAAAGAAGTGAGACGGATTATTTCGAATAATTGAAATTATTTGTCGACATCAAATGTTCATCAAGGTCTCCATAAGTCTCTATTTGGCGTAGAGTAAAAACTATATGAATGGTTTTGCATGCAGTTAAATTGGAAAATACTTGCCAAGTTGCTGGTATATCCAAATTTGAATAAAATACATCCAAGTCTTTACTTTCCGCAGACACTGTATTAAATATATCCTTGAAACAAATTGGCACTAAATCACTTTCGAGTTTTCAGCAAAACAAAACGTTTAAACACGTGTAGTCCAGTAATTAATACCAAAGCTATTGAGAGTATGCAGTCCAGTAATTAGACCGAAGGTACTTTATCATTTAACTAAAACACAACACAAAGTTTGAATTAAATTCCCGAAACATTTTTTGTTTGTTCTTTTTAGTAAAAGATTTGTCCTATTCACTGTCTGATATTTCACTAGCAGAGTCGTCACTATCTGAATTGTCTATCCGAATAATTAGAGGCCGGACCTCATCTATAACTCGCTCGGTTTGAAAAGACTGAACGATTATGTCTTCCGTATGTCTAATACAATTTTGCCATTGTTCTGCTTTTATTTGTTCTAGCGATTCTTTTCATAAACCAAGAACTCTAGCGTCATCTTTGTTTTGGATGCATGTTTATCATAAAAAATTTTGGCTATACCCCAAACTAACTCAATTGCATTATAGTGACAATGGTAGGGCGGAAGTCCAAGAACTTCATGGCCATATTTAAGAGTCATTTGGTCAGTAACAAAGTTCTTTCGAATTTTGTGCTCTCCACACCTTTGAAGTAAATTGACTTTTAAAAATATATCACTGTGATAAATTTTCTTTTCTGTCAACCACAACTTTATTTCTTCTTTTGTCCAGCTATTGAAGGAAATCTCTCTTCTACTCTTGAATGGTAGGATGCATTATCTAAGACTATTATGGATGGTCGCTCCAATTTTTTTAACAAATTTTCTTCAAACCATTCTTTAAAAATATTTGCATCCATATTTCCATGGTAATCACCTGTATTTTTTGTGGACGAAAAAAAATTAAACCCCATCGTTTCCAGCATGAAGTATAATGTAGCGTTTACCATTACCGGAACGACTAGAAGAATAGCATTTCGTGGTGCCATCTTGCCAAGATGATTTTGACATATTTCCTTTAGCGAAAATCCAAGTTTCGTCTAAAAGTACAACTTGCCTTGGACTATCAGACATTTTATTGTTCATGTATTTTCTTAAAAAATGCCAACGTTTGAAACAACATTAGAGAGTTCACACAATACTTGTCTATTATTTGTCTATTTATTTCGAAAACCTAAATGTTTCAACACTCTCCACAAACTTGTTAAACTAATATCACACAGTTCCTTGTCTTTTATTTTTGCAACACAGCACTAACTGTTACATGTTTTTTTTCTTTATACATATTATATATAATATTTTAATTGCAAGTTTAACTGACTAATGCAAATCTAAAGTTTTTGGATGTTGACGATTTCTCTTGCTAACTTTATTTATTTCATCCTTACTCATGTTATTAATTCTTCGGAATGTTCTATCTGAGATACCGCAAGCATCGCATATGCGTTTCTGAACTGCCCTAATAGATGTCATTGGACCCATATTATTTTTTTTGTAAATTGAAATAACTTTCGACTTTTAGAACTAAACGCCGTTCTTCTGGAGATAACACTCTACGTTTCGACTGTATTTTATTTTCTTCCAAATTACTCATTTTGTTTTAAAGTACCACTTCACTACACTACTATAAAAAATAGGTACTTATATACAACTACTACACCCTAAAAAGGATGAGGGTTTAAGGACAAAAACAATCGAACGCAAGTTATTTAACAGCCAATGCTAAACCAACATAAATACTGTATTGATTGTGATTGCAAAAACCGTTCGCATGTTTTAAATAAGGTTTTTGCTGATTATGTATTTTGTTAAATTATTAAAACAAAAAAACAAAAATACAACCCACGACCATCAATTAATTTTTAACGATAAACAAAAGAGAAATATGATGTTTGAATTTGATCTACTTTGTCGTTAACAGAAAGGTATTTTAAACAGCATAAATCATTTTTCAATGATTATGTGGATTTAAGAAATACATTAGTAAATAAATTTTTAAGTGTGTATAAAATCTTAACTGTCTTTTCTCCTGAGATTACAATTATTATGACACATGGTATTTACTATTTATTTTTTAAATATTATGTTTTTGTAAATGCATAACTTTTATTATTGGGTAAACCTACATTATACGATACGTCAGAAGAAATTAAAAAAAAAATAACATTGCAATAAAATTACAAGCCAAGAAACGATAACTTGTTGAGCAGTGCTGATTGAAACAACAGAGCAGTCAAATATTATTCAAAGAGATAGTGTAAAATATATCGCCGCTTATCTGGTCCACTAGTAATAAAGTTACGATCATTTAATTTCAAAGCGGTCTTCTTAGGTGAAAAATCCTTACCTTTGTAACACCCTGTTTATTATTGTATATTGTTATATTTCATAACTTAACAGCTCACTGACATATAATTAACTTAATTTCGCATTATGTAATCCTTCTTGTCTTCTGGTGCTTTCCACGGTTCCATGTTTATAATCGTCTCTTTGACAGCTTAATAAGGTGTTGCTTTTTGTACGAGTTTAATAAAAATTTTAATATATATATATATATAGGTATATATATATATATATATATATATATATATATATATATATATATATACCTATATATATATATATATATATATATATATATATATATATAGGTATATATATATATATATATATATAATTTTCAAATAATTTAATTAATTAATTTTCTTTAAACTTGTTAAAGAGAATTTTCACCTTTCACCTTTTATTTTGAGGATGTCGCATACTTATAAAGACGCTTTCATTTAAATATTCCGATCAAAAATTAACCATAAATGCATATTAGACTTTTATATTCTGAACTTTCTGTTAATTAATTTTTTAGTGCTATCAAATGTTTCAACACGTTCCTTAAACTGCGTCCGCTGTCAATTTTTATATCTTTTCTAAAATAACTTATGACAATTATTGGCCGTAAAGTATTTAAAACTGACAAGGTGTTTGTTTAACTTCATCGTTCTAATTGGTCGCTTGAATTTGGACTAAAAGAACAACTGACCTGTGGCTTTTGCACCTGAATACTTAAGTACTCCTCTAATAAGCGCGAAATTGGTAATTTATTCATAATTGATAAGAATGTCACCAGGAAATTTAGATATATTTACATATTTATTAAAGTTCTACTTTGTTTAAAATATGTCATAATTTGAATGGTGGGTTTTGAATAAAAACCGTTTTTTTATCTATATATAAACATGGTGACAAGAAATAAATAGAAGATATAAAGTCACTTTAAATTATAAATAAGAGTTATAAATTAAGAACGACATCGACAGTTGAAATGTAGGAATATCTAAACAGTAACACATAACACAATTATTGTTCTTAATTTATAACTCATATTTATAATTTAAAGTGACTTTATATCTTCTTAAAAACCGCAAAATACCCCAATACTTGAGGAGCAAAGTGTTCAACCAATTCATCCATCCTATCATGACATATGGATGTCAAACCTGGACCCTAACCAAGGCAAATATGAATAAACTAGCCACAACAGAAAGAACAATGGAAAGAGCAATGGTAGGTATACGACTGTCAGATAAAAATAGAAACGACTGGGTAAGATCCAAAACATTGGTCGAGGACATAACAACAAAAATTGCCAAACTTAAATGGAGCTACTTAATGGTAGGAAGATATGGAGAACAAATAACCAATGACAACGGAATGCGTCTTAGAGATTTTTGTGAAATAATGTCTCTCAAAATTATGAATGGATTTCTTCAACATAGAGACATCCACAAATTTACATGGATACAACCTACTAGGAATCTGCGCTCGATAATCGACTTTGTAATCCAACGTCAAACTTCCCAGCTGAAAACAACTGACGTAAGGGTATACCGTGGATCAGAATGTGGATCCGACCATCATTTACTTATGGCCAATGTGATAGTTATCTATCGCAAAAACAATACCACTCAGGTACAGAATATAGAAAAGGGACAAAAAGTAATATCTCCTAAATATAACCTAAAAAGCTTAAAAGAAGATTCAACAAAATTTCTTTACAAATTACGACTGGCCACAAAATTACAAAATGTGGATCGAGAAAATATAACAGCGGAAGAATTATACCAACAACTTAAAAAGTACATTCATGAGGCTACAAGTGAAGCTTTGGGATATAAAGACAAACATGAAACAAAAAATCAAGAATGGTGGTCGGAGAATATGCAAACGTTAATAAACAAGAAGAAAACTGCTTATCAGAAATGGATGTCAACGAGAAAGGAGGAAGATCACAAGGTATATACGAAATTAAATCGAGATGTAAAAAGAGAAGTAGTGAAAAGTAAAAATGAGATGTGGGATCGAAGATGTGCAGAGGTGGATAGGTATATGGGTGGAACAAGAGTTGGGCAAGCGTGGAAGGTGATAAAGTCTCTCCGGAGGGAAGGAAAGGAAAAATCTAACTTAAAATTAATAGATCTGAAACAGTGGAAACAGCATTATGAGGTCTTATTGACAGAGGATAGACGTAAATTCCAAGATATCGAAATGGAAGAAATATCTGAACGTACACAAATAATTGAGATAACAACCGGAGAGTTAAGCGATGCCCTCAAAAGATCGAAACACGGTAAAGCAGCAGGACCTGGAGACATCCCAATTGAGTTGGTAAAGTATGGACCAAAAATATTACACGAGATGATGGTTAAACTATTTAATAAATGCTTAAAAGGACAAAATATCCCTGATGATTGGAATGTTGGATACATCAGCTCAATATACAAAAAAGGGGATAAACGAAATTGCTCTAATTATAGAGGAATAACTGTTACTAGCTCAGTGGGGAGGTTGTACGGTCGAATAGGTCTCAGTAGAGAGTATGTGGATACTATCGCAAATATATACAAAAATGCAAGAAGTGTTGTTAAAGAAGGAAACTTTATATCTGAATCATTTCCAATAACCAAGGGGCTTAAACAAGGATGTTGTCTGTCTCCGACCCTGTTTAAAATATATATTCAATCATCGCTAGAGCAGTGGAGAAAACAAGTATCCGGAATGGGAATAGACATAGGCGGTGGTGAATGTCTAACAGCTTTATTTTTCGCAGATGATCAGGTAGTCGTAGCGAATGACGAGGAAGACATGGACTACATGTTTAGAAAACTAAAGAAAGAATATGAAAAATGGGGCCTCAATATGAATATGGCAAAGACAGAGTATCTTAAAATAGGAGATGGTGAAGAAGATCCAGAGTTAGAAATTAGAAACACAAAAACATGCAATGAATATAAATATCTCGGATCTATAATATCTAAAGAAGGCACTACCAAAAGAGACATCGAAAACAGAATACAGCAGGGAAAAAAAGTGGTAAACATTCTAAACTCTCTACTTTGGTCTAAAGATATTAGACAAGAAACGAAATTGACAATCTATCGAACCTTGGTAGAGCCTTTTTATGACTTATGGGGCAGAGGTTTGGCAGATAACGCAGAAGGATAGAAAAAGAATAGAAGTAGTAGAAATGGATTTTCTAAGAAGAGCGTGTGGTATATCCAAAAAAGATCACATCAGGAATGAAGATATTAGAAGGAGCACAAATACTGTATATTCCAGTGTAGATAGAATTGAAACGAGACAACTAGTGTGGTATGGCCACGTGAAACGAATGAATGAAGATAGATGGCCAAAGAAAGCTTTAAATTACATACCACAACAAAGAAGAAGAAGGGGAAGGCCTTCAGTTGCCTGGGAAGAAAATGTACGGCACATAATGAGAGATAGAGCCATCAGAGAAGACGAATGGATGGACACAAAAAGGATGGCGGTCGAAATGCGAGAAACGGCAGAGACTGTAGGAACCTCGCTTATATATATATATATATATATATATATATAATATATATATATATATATATATATATATATATATATATATAAATGGAGCTTCGCGGGCCACACTGCTAGACAGAAAGACCAACGTTGGAATACTACAATACAGTTGTTGTTATCAACAGGTCCTCGTAGGCACTTCGTCTCAGGACCATTTTACTCATGTAGAGTCATACGCCGCCATGTTACCTATCCAACGGTAACTTAACCATCACAAATTGGAAATACTAATAATGTAAAACAATTTCAAATTTATAACATTTAAAGGGTTTTTACCCATATATTTTGGTGGCTACTAGCATGTACAACCGTTTGCACTGATGATGGATTGTTTAATCCGAAAACGTTTTGCAATGTGTTTGTGATAGCCCGTTTGAGGCATTTTTATATACCTTTTATAAAGGATTTTAACAACATTTTTTTGTGATATATGGTATACAGCCAGCTACAGGAACTTAGTTTCCTCGTGGAATTTTACTACAATACAACATTGAAGACCTTACAAAAGTAAACGACCAAGAGGAAGACCACAGATGAGATGGGTTGATGACATTAAAAGATTAGACGGAACAAATTGGAAATATTTTGCTCAGGATAGAGACCGATGGAACGATGGACGATAGAAAGCTAAGAAGAAGAAAAAGATATCAAAGCAGGTCTAGGGGTGGCTCCAATTGATACCAAAGTGTGAATCCCTAGTGTGTGAAGTTAAGACTGTTCAAGTATATTAATCGTTGAGACTTTAGTCACACAATAAGAAGAATTGTTGATTTAAAAATTCCTGGGAGAAGTATCAGATCAGTGAAAGATCTTAAGAGAAGACTCTTAGGCAGGATGTTGGTAAAGGGGTAGAGGTATACTGCTGTGATGCAGAATGATCAAATTAATCGTAGATAACCAAGGTTTCCTCAATAATTCTTTAAGGCTAGACTGGGATGACCCAACCACAAAAGTTATTAATAAAATAGAAAGTTTGCAACACATTTAGATACTAAGGAAAATAATAAAACACTAAACAAAAAAGCACATAAATCTTTTATGATTTATTAGAAATAACATTAACATTATGATATATTTCTAATTCTATTTGTATGTATAATATTCTGTAAACACGGCATACACTTTGATTAGATAACATTACAAGTCAGGTTAAAAATGTTGTTTTATAATAATTAATTACGACAATGAATCATTCATTGAACACACTCTCCGATATTAGATATATAGGCATATAAACCACTGTTAGAGATTGTAATCGTGACCGTGTATACACATGTAGAGCAATCGGGCTCATTAATAAAACGTGCCTAAAATTTACATTTTAAATATACCGCTTGACGAAAATTTTGCATCAGAACAAAAGGTAAAAAGTGTATACAGCCCTATGATAATTTGTTTTTATTGTAGTCTATATTTGCAAAATAATAAATAACGGACAGGAAACCGTAATACGTGTGGACAAATTGGAAACGGACAAATTAATCCATTAGTGCCCAGATTAGTTTTTTGGAGTTTTTAATGTGATACTAATATTTTTTTGGGAGCAGTTTTATTAAAAAAAAAAATAAAGATAAATGAATTCACGTATTCGGATTTATAAATCTCTCAGCATATGATGTTGCATATATGTAACGCTAGGAGCTGAAGGGTTCAAAACATCATCTGATATCTGTAACAGTTCTATTTATTTAAAAACTAAAAATAATGTAAAAGGTATTTAATCATTTTACACAGGTAACGAAACGATCAATACAGAGACTTAAGTTACATTTTTTACACATCGTGCATGTTGAACTTTGGCAAAATCTTCCAGCACAACGTCTTCTTTTGTAGTTTGGAATTTTATCCACTAGGTGTCTCATCCTATCATATCTAATTTCATCAGCTACTCTTTGTGCATTAAAAAGATGGAGATAGAGTTGGAAGATGGAGATTTAAACACCTTTTTGAGATGACGAATATTTCTATAAATAAACTCGCACGATTGCCTTGGCAAGTATATTTGGAACATCTGAGATTTTTTATGAACAAGCGCATTGACAGTAAAATCATAAATATAGTGCAAACATTATATTGGAACCAAAGTGCCATAGTTCAAATTGAAGGGCAACACTCAGAAGAAATGAGGATCTGTAGAGGAGTTAGACAGGGATGTGTTTTATCACCACTTTTTTATATTCCGAATGATTTGTGTGGTTCTCAATGATTGTTGAT